CAGGACTGCGGGAGGCAGCTGTGGCGGGGGCCCCTGCACGGGACGTCAGCTCGGCCTCGGCTGGCGCTCGCCTGGGGCGGCGGGAGCCGCGAGGGCTCTTGCTGCGTGCCGCCTGCTTGCCTTCAAAATCTTCCTCGCTGATGCCTGATAGCGTGCGCTCGTCGGCCTGACCCGCGCGTGCGGATCTGCCCCTGGCCTGAGCGCTTGCGCTGCGGCGGGAGGATGCCATGGTGACTGGCTCCCCTTTATCATCAGAGAGGTCCCATCCGAGCTGGCTGGCAGAACGGGTAGGCGGGGGCAGTTCGTTAGGCTCCCCTACGGCAGCTGCTGCTGGGCTCGACTGGTTGGTAGTGGCCTCTCCTGGTGGCGCAGTGGTGGACGCCTCCCCTGTCGGCGTCTCGGGCACTGGCGCTGGCCCAGGTTTAGGCGCAAAACCTAAGCGGAAAAGCGGGCCCGCTCTGACGGGAGCGCGGGCTTGTTCAGAACCTGACGGCGCGGTGGCCCCCCCCCGGGGCGTGGCACCGTGGCTAGAGACGGCGGCTGGCACTAGTTGCCCGGCCTTGATATGTGAGGCTAGGGTGTCTACTGCATTGCGCATGGCCTGGGCCTGGGAGTCAAAACTTGCCTTGATGGTGGCTACCTCCCTGGCCATGGCCTCGGCGTTGCTCTGCATGGCCGCGGCGAGTGAAGTGATGCAAGGCTGTTCCAACCCTTGGAAGCCTGGGAGGGGCGCGGGGCATTGGAGGGGCGGAGGGGAGGGCGGCGCGGCAGTGAGGGGCGCGGCCGTTCCTAGGTCTGGCGTGCCATCTCGATCTTCGCCCGCGTGCGATGCAGAGAGTGCCGCAGAGAGCTGTACTGCTCCAGGCTCGTCCGCCGCCTCCCCCATCATGAGCGAATCAGTGATGGCAGCGACTGGCGGCGCCTGCGATTTGAAATAAGCTAGTAATGTAGATGCCTGGCTGAGGTCCGCTTGCGCGGTTTGAAGGGCCAGGGCGAGGTTGCGCACGTGCTCCTCTGCCTGAGCTTGCTTAGCGGCCAATTGTTCACAATCGGCATGCAGAGAGGCCACCACGTGCTCTTGCTCGCTAATCTTGGCTGGCGGACCCCTCGCATTGGCCAGTTGAAAATTAACTAATGAAATCTCCTTACGGATCTCGGTGATACGCATATCGGAGTGTCCTAGGAGGGTTGAGGCCCTGAGCTGCAGGATCAGCGCATCCTTGCTCATGGCAAGGGCCTTGCGGTGCTCCAGCAGGCGGTCGGGCTCGAGCGGGGGATAAATCCAGGCTGAATGAGAGTGCGCCTCGTCAGGGGTGAGGATAGGGCATTGCGCTGTGAGCTCTGCTACTGAGAGCTCAGTGGCAGGATCCAACGCGCCGAGAGAGGAGAAGGCTTGGTCGGCCATGAGGAACGGAGACTGCTGCACAGAGGCAGGGCCGAAGAGTGTGGGGGAGGTGGCCTCGCCTTCGGGAGGAGGCGCAAAAGGCGAAGGCTGCGACCGGGGGGACTGCCCGATGATTCCCGTGTCCTTGGCGCCGTGTGGGGTGCCAGGAGCCTTTGAGGCGGGCTGCTCCCCCTCGCTGCGCTGGGCCTCGCGGGCCCTGCGAGCCTCGTCCTTCTCCCGCTTCTTGCGCTCCTTGCTGGAGAACACTTCTGGCTGGACCGTGTGGTCTCCTGGGGGTGCGGGGAGTAAGCCGTGCTCCGCTGCCCATGCAGCCACCTGGTCGAAAGATGGCGGATTTGACGGAGCATGGCCTTTGCCCATGTGTGCCCCACCCGTGCTTCCAGAAAAGGAGCGTGGGCCCTTGTGGCCCGGCCAGGGGCCCGCACCTTGCAGGGGCTCGTGCTGCCCCTGACCTTTGGCGGGGCCGGGTGACGCCTGCTGGGGTCCTGCCGCCCGAGTCGGAAAGCAGGTGGGGCATGAAATGTCCAGAGTGGTGTTGGCCCGGCCGCACTGCAGGCAATACCAAAGCTCTGGAGGGGCGCTGCCTTTCTGGTGCACTGGCTGGGGGGGAGGAAAAAAGTCAGCAGGCAGGCGCGTGGCATATAGGGACGGAGAGGGAGGAGCAGCCATACGCTGCGTAGGGGAGGTAGCCATACCGTGCTGCTGCAGCCCTGACGTTGGCGAGAGAGGCGTCGCGCGAGGCGGGGGCAAGGTCGTGGGGACAGCGCCTTGCTGCGGGAGGCCCTGGAAAGAGTGGTGGTGAGAGAGCATCATTGCGGCTTTATGCACTCTTAAAAGTGTGCGGGCGTTTGCGCGCTGTTTGCGCGCTCTGCGATGATGAGCGGGCTCGTCGCGAGGCCGCTGGGGGTAGGAGGGAGGAAAGTAAGCAGGCGTCGCGCCTGGCGGATGGCGGCCCTTGCGGGCGTCGCGGCGGGGATCGGCGCGGAACCGGTTTGCAAACCGCTCGAGCCAAACCTGGCAGGGGAGGGCAGAGGAGGGGGGGGCGTCCGCTCTGCAGGGGGGGGGGCTGCACGGAGCGGGGTCCGCTCTGCAGCGGGGGGGGGGCTGGGCTGCAGGGAGGGGGGGGCGGTCCGCTCTGCAGGGGGGGGGGTCCGCTCTATTATTATTATTATTATTATTATTATTATTATTATTATCATTATTAGTATTATTACTATTATTATTATTATTAGTATTATTAGTATGAGTATCATTGTTATTATTATTATTATTATTATTATTATCATTACGATTATTATTATTATTATTATATTTATAATTATTATTAGTAGTATTAATATTATTATTGTTATCCTTTCTTCCTCCTTACTCCCTCCTCTCCCTTCCTTCCCCCCAAGAGAACAGCCCCACCTCTGTATAAATCTCTACGAGCCGCTGCCCCGCGAGAGCGCCGCTGCGGCGGCCAGGGAGGCACTCTGCGGCGCCTCGCGCGGTGGCCGCGGCGTGGCGTCGGCGAGGGGAAGCTTCGACGTGCACGCGCTGGGCCTCCAGCCTCCACGCGCGCCAAAACCGCATCCCGAAACGGTCCGAAACGTGCCATCTGCAGTCTGTCGATTTCGAGGATCTCGACTTGGATCCGGTTCGACTCCGACTTTCGACCTCGGTTCGGATGCCCTTGTTCAGGCCTCGACCCCTGCCGCCGCACGTCGATTTCGGTGCCTTCCGATCTGCCTTCCGATTTCTGCCGACGGGGTGTATTTCGATGGCCTATTCGATTTTCCGATACTATTTTGGATCGTCCTGCCACTTCAGACGTATGGCAGCGTGCGCCCAGTGACCCTTGCACGCTTTCCAGCTCTCGAAGACGAGCGAAAACGACACCAAACACAAGCTTCGGAGCTCTGCGCGGATTTCTTGGATCGGCGCTGGGGCCGCCCTGGCGGCGCCGCCCACGGCGCATTCCACGCGCGGAGGGTCCGGCGCAGGTCCAAGAGATGCCCGCGGGGCTCCAGAAGTTTCTGCTCATGCCCGTGTCCGTTGTTCTAAGCACTTGGCATCGCTCGGACGTGTGCCTTTCTTTTCGGCGGGAACCATCGAGGACCATCCTTTATTATTTGGCGAAAAAACCACGCACGAAACCGAAAAAAGTACAGGGAATGGACGTCCGAGCGATGGCGAGAGCATGGGCTGTGCCCACTTCTGGTGCGAGCCTCGTCGGCTTCTCCGTGCAGCGTGCGGCCAACAGCTCTGCTCAGGGACAACGTTCGGGGGGATGGGCTCAGTGGCGGGTGCAGCGGCCAATCGCCCATGAATCGCCGATAGAGGCTCGATAGTCCGCCCTCTACAACTCTTGCTGTCAACTGTTGCTGCCAGGCCCGACGAGCTGGGTGGTTTCATCTTGCCTGCAGGACTGGCGATCCCTCAGCTTTCAGAGCGAGCTGTCGGATTTAGAGACGCCATCGCTGCAGCTGTGAAGGCCCGCGTGGTGCGATTCGAAAATCCATCCCACGGCGGCCTCCGCGTGCAGGAACGCGCATCGAGGATTTGAGATCTTCTTCCAAGTCCTGCCTGCTCCCTATCACATGCCGGTTGGAGAGCGTCATGGGCGCAAAATTGTTCCTTGTTCAAGTTGGCTGGCGCCGACAGCGGTTTACGGCGACGAGTTATTATCCTCCCTGCGGGGGGGTGCCTAGATTTGGGCGGTCGTCGCGGCTGGCAGGGCAGGGCGACACTCTCTTCAGGGAGACTCCGCCCATGGTTGCCTGTGTCCACCTGCGCCGTCGGCTCGACAGGTGGCCGCTACGGACCTTCGTGGGCCGCTGCGTGGAGCGCGCGATGGCCACATTCTGGGTTTGGTGCGCAGCGCGGCTCCCCGGCTCCGACTCCGGCTCCCAGTTTTCCGACCCTTCCCATCTCTCCGATCCCAGCTCCTTCCTTGGATCCCACCTCTCCGTCTCCGGGCCCGACTCCTGCTCCCAAATTTCCGGCTATCCCATCCCATCTTTCCGACTCCGGCTCCAACGCCAGATCCCATCTCTCCGACTCCCGTTCCGACCCCAGCTCACATCCTTCCGACCCCGGCTCCGACTCCAGCTACCATTTTTCCGACTCCAGCTCCCATCCTATCTCATCTCTCCGACTCTGGCTCCACTCCTGGATCCCATCTCTCCGACTCCAGCTCCCGCACTTGCGATTGTGTGTGAAGCATCAACGACGGCATCACTATCCACGACGAGCACACACAACGACTCCTACAACAAGGATGCCTCTCCCTCCCTCCTCCCTCCCTCTCCTCTGACGCACCTAATTTTGTATGTGTCTCGAACGCATGCTTTACCCTACGCCACAGTATCTTGGCGCCACGGCGCCACCGCTCCGTTCCCAGAGGGACCGCGCCCCGGCGCGCATGCGAGCGTCCGTCCGTCCGTCCGTCCGTCCGTCTTCCTCCTCCTTCGCCCCTGCGCCTTCTCTTGCGCATCCTCCTACTCCTGCCTCCTCCTTTCCTCCCTCCTACTCCCTCCTCCCTCCCCCCCCCGGGCCTCGCACTGGTGCAGCTGCGGGAGGGAAGCCACGCCCGAACGCCCTCCCTCCGCAAGGACGTGCTCGGCAGCGCGTTTCCTGGAGGAGCCGCCAGGGTGGCCGAGAAGTCCGACTTCGCGGAACAGCCCCTCGAGGCGTTCGTCGTCTTCATCGTCGCCGTTGTCGGAGGAGGAGGAGGGGGGGAGGCAGGGAGGGAGGGAGGAGGAGGGGGGGAGGGAGGGGGCGGAGGGAAGATGAGGCGGGATGATGATGATGACGATGATGATGATGATGATGATGATGATGATGATGATGATGATGATGATGATGATGATGATGATGCTGATGCTGATGCTGATGCTGATGATGATGATGATGATGATGATGATCATGATCATGATCATGATCATGATCATGATCATGATGATGATGATGATGATGATGATGATGATGATGGTGCTGATGTTGTTGTTGATGGTGATGATGGTGTTGATGTTGATGGCGATGATGATGTTGATGAGGATGATGAGGATGATGATGGGTGATGGTGTTGAAGACGATGACGATGACGATGATGATGATGATGATGGTGATGATGGTGGTGGTGGTGATGATGGTGGTGGCGGTGATGGTGATGGTGATGGTGATGGTGATGGTGATGATGATGATGATGGTGATGAGGATGGTGATGAGGATGATGATGAGGATGAGGATGATGATGACGATGAGGATGATGATGATGATTATGATGATAATGATGATGATGATGATGATGATGGTGATGATTATGCTGGTGGTGATGATGATGGGGATGGTAGTGATTGTGATGTGATGGTGATGGTGATGTTGATGAACTGCTGCTGATGATGATGCTGATGATGATGATGATGCTGATGGTGATCGTAATGGTGGTGGTGATGATGGTGGAGGTGGTTGCGAGGTGATGATGCTGCTGCTGCTGATGATGATGATGGTGGTGGTGGTGGTGATGGTGATGAGGAGGACGAGTAGGGAGAGGAGGAGGATGAGAGTCTGGATTAGGATGTTGAGGACGAGGAGGATGAGGATGCGGATGATGAGGATGAGGATGAGGATTAGGATGCTGTTGATGGTGGTGGTGATGATGTTGATGATGGTGGTGATGATGATTATCTAAAGGCTGCCGCCTCTGCCGCCGACCCCAATTGAGCGACGCATGTTTAATTCGTTTGTTGTCGGAGTGTCTTGTCGAGCACGACAGGAAGAGTTCAGGTGAGACATCCAGGCCGGAGCCTCGCCCCCTGGACTCCTGATTCTCTGTTGCACCTCGGACTCCTCCCTATCGAATGGCCTTCGGCAAATCCCGCCACTGTGTCTGGGTTGTGGGTATGAAGCCTATTCGATGTTCGTTGGGATTTCGTGGGGGACCCTCATGGGGGCCTCTTGGACGCAGTTCTGAAGCCTCTTGGGGGCAGTTTTGGAGCCTCGTGGGGTCGCTGTCGGGTCCCTTGGGGGCCTCTTGGAGCCTCTTGGGTGCCTCTTGGGGCCTCCTGGGAGCCTCTTAGGGCGGAACGCTCGGATTTTCGGTTAGTGTTCCTTCTCTTGGACCAGTTTGGGCGCCGTCATGGGGTCCTCTTGGGCCGTCTCGGGCGCCTCCTGGGCCGTTCTTGGGCGCTCGAGGGCCGTCTTGGGGCCCTCTGGGGGGCCTCTTGAGCAGTCCTGGGGCGGCATTGAAGACCTCGGGCCTTCTGCGAGCGTCGGACAGGAAACGAGGCGAGAACACCCAAATCGTTCAAACAACGAAGGCTAATCTATGATGTGTGCCTTTCAGGGTCCTCTTGGCAGGCATCTTCGAGGCCCCTTGGGGCATCTTAGAGGCCTCTTGGGCCATCTTGAGGCCGCGTATGGCGTCTTGGGGCGATCTTTGGGCGTCTCGGGGCGTTTGGGGCCGTCGTGGCCTCTGTGGGCACCGTTGGCTTGTTTTGGGCCCCCATCGCTCCGAAACAGTTACGCGAGAAACCGCGAGGGATTTCGCGATGTGGGGCTAGGGTTTCTGAACGACTTCTCAGGAGTGATGATTGAGGTTGAGAGGATGATGGTAAGAACCTGAAGGCACGCCCACTCCGTGCCCAAAAGGCACGGTGGCGGATCTACAGAACCATGATAATTCGATGATTATGGTTCTGGCGGGTCGCATCGCATTTCCGAGCTCCAATGGGGAAGCCACCTGGGGATATTTCAAGTGGTTTTTGGTTGGAATCGTGGGGGGGGGCAGTGACTCGGGGTAGGCGGCGGGGCGTTTTCGGGGGCGAGGATCTGTCGAATGGGGGGGGGGGCGAGAACAAAGATCCCGCAAGGTGTGGATTTTGGGCGAGGATATGTCGATTGGGGGGTCCGAAGAACAGAAAGTTCGTGGGTGGGGGTGCTGGGGCTAGGAGTGGGGCGTTGAACGAAGCTCCCGCTGGGTGGGGGTTGTGGACGAGGTCGACGGCGCGGTAGGCGGCGGGGCGTTTTCGGGCGAGGACTTGTCGAGTGGAGGGTGCCAAGAACAGAGCTCCCGCTGGGTGGGGATTGTGGACGAGGTCGACGGCGGGGCAGGCGGCGGAGCGTTTTCGGACGAGAATTTATCGAGTGGGGGGCCCCAAGAACGAAGCTCCCGCAAGGTGGGGATTGTGGGCGAGGTCGACGGCGGGGCAGGCGGCGGGGCGTTGTCGGGCGAGAATCTGTCGAGTGGGGGGTCCCAAGAACAAAGCTCGCGCTGGGCGGGGATGCCGGGGCGACGAGGGGGGCATCGGTCGGTGTTGGGCGAGAAATTGCGTGGTGGGGGGCCCCAAGAACAGAGGTTCCGTGGGACGGGGATGCTGGGGCGAGGAGGCTAGTATCGGTCGGTGTTGGGGGAGAATCTGCGCGGTGGGGTGCCTCAGAAACAGAGGTTCCGTGGAGCGAGGATGCCGGGGCGAGGAGGGGGGCATCGGTCGGTCGTGGGCGAGGAATTGCGTGGTGGGGGGCCCATAGCACATAGGTTCCGTGGGGTGGGGATGCCGGGGCGAGGGCGGGGTGTATCGGTACGTTTTGGGCGAGAAATTGTATGGTGGGGGATGCCGGGGGGGGGGGTCGGGGTGAGGTCCGGACTGAAAACTGCTGGGTGGGGGCCCAGGAGCAGAGTTCCCAGGAGAGGGGGGATGCTGGGTCGTCCCAGGCAGGAACTGGTCGAGGTCCGTTGTGGGCAGAGGTCCTAGGACGTCGCAGAGCAGGGTCGACACGCCGGGCAGGATCGAGCACGGCCCTTCATCTCACGCGCCTCCGGGGTCGGCGGAGTTTGATGATCCTAGTGATGATGGTGATCATGGTGATCATGGTGATCATGATGCTGGTGTCGACGATGGTACTGATGTTCAGGAGCGACAGAAGGACGTACACGTACATGAATCCACGCTGGTTTTGAGAGTTCGCATTGCGCGAATGTTCGTATCGCGCGGCAGGTCTCGCGGGTCAAGGGGCCGTGTTCATGTACATAGCTGGGCGCGTACGTCCTTTGTGGGCTTCCTAATGATGCTGGTGTCGACGATGGTACTGATGTTGGTGATGTTGATGCTGATGCTGATGCTGATGCTGCTAGTGGTGCTGGTTGTGTTGATGATGGTGCCGAGTATGCTGATGACGATGCTGCTGAGTATGGTCAGGAGGTGGAGAAGAGGAGGAGGAACAGTAGTCGTGCGCTGCAGTTGGCTCTTCATTTGTTTTCTTCATTGAAGACATGAGACACCACTGCGTGCGCAACATTGCATATCCCACGCTAATGTATTGCTTGCAATGCAGCGATATTGTCCCAGCCAGATGTTTTGAAGCAACACGCTTGCAAGCTCGATGGGGATCGAAGACAGCAAACTTCCGCTTTCGCGTGTTGTAGACGTGCCGCCGCATCGTGTGGACCTCTCCGAAGGCAGCCCTGGCTTTGCCAATTCGCCTGGCCACGGCTGTATGTGGCCAGCCTGGGGAACTGTAGAATGGAATTCGAGTCCGGTCTTGTTCTAGGATAGTTGCACTTGGCGGCAGTTAGTGGCACGCGCGCTTGTGGCTCCGATGGGGTCGGCGGTCTCACTCACGCGCTAGGCCGCGAGTGGCCGCAAGCGGCCACTATAGGCCGCTCGTGGCCGCTGAATGACCGCTAGTGGCTAGTGGCCGCTACAGGCTGCTGGTGGCCACTAAATGGCTGCTTCATGGCCGCGGAACGCCCTCCAATAGCCGCTAGTCGTACGCGCTATTTGCCGCTACATGCCGCCAGTGGCCACTTAGTGCCGCTAAATGGCAGTTTTCGGAGGTCGCGATGGTCAGTGCGAAGTTCCCCACAGAGGCTACAGAACATCCGCGCTCAGCTGGGTAGCCAAGTACACTGCTGAAGGCACGATTCTTCAGGCTTACGCCACATCCGCTGACCCTTTAATTGAAGTCAATGATCAGATGGTTCGAAACCGTTTGGCGGTCGTTTTGGGGTTCTTGTCGGGTTTCTTGGGAGCTCTTCGGGGCCTGAGGGGGGCATCTTTGGGGTTGTTCGGGCTACTCCTGGGCTCGTCTTCGAGCTCTCTTGGGCTTCTTTTGGGCTCTTCTTGGGCTGCTGTAGCGTCCTCGTGGGCCGTCTTGGGGCCTTTTTGGGCCCCCAGGGGTGCGTTTTTGGTGCCCCCGGGGGTTCCTGGGAGCGGAAAGCTAGATTTTGTAGATTTTTGGTGGTCCTCTGGGGCTCTTCATGATGCTGTCTTGGAGTCCCCTGGGGCCGTCTTGGGGGCCTCTTGGGCCGTCTTGAGGCCATCTTGGGTTTGGGCCGTCTTGGGGCCGCCTTGGGCGCCTCTTGGGCGGTCTTGGGGCGGTCTTCGGGGCCTCCTGGGCCGTCTGGGAGCGTCGGAAAACCCACACGGCGAATGCGTAAAAAAAAAGTGTTACGAAGGAGATGAGCCAATGTTTGCGTCTAGGGACCCTCTTGGGACGCACCTTGGAGGCCTCTTGGGGGCGTCTTGGGCCATCTGGAGGCCATCTCGGGTGTCTTTGATTGCTTTTGGACCGTCTAGGACCATGTGGAACTCTCTTGGAAGCCAGTTGGAGCGCTCTTGGAGCGCTCTTGGGGCCGTCTTCAGGGCTCTCTTGGGCCGTCTTCAGCCTCTGGAGCCGTCTTGGGCCCCTC